TTGTCCGAGGATGATGGACCTCCAAGGTCGGTGTTCTGTCGGTGGGTCCATAGGTGACTGTGGAGCCCCATTCTTGACCTGCATCTCCTCCCGCAGTGAGGGCATTGGTTTCCAGGTGGAAGGCGGTTTCAGTCGGGGTTGGCTTGATGCATCTTCCTCTCTTTCACGTTTTTCTCTTTCACCCTCCATTCGTGACTCTTCAAATTCTGCAGCACTGCTGGTCACAACTGACCTCCAGCTGGAGCGCTCAAGGTCCAGGGCTACCTAGTTCTCAGTGTCTATGCCAGAGTTTTTAAGGTTGGCTTTGAGCCCATTTTTCAATCTCTTTTCCTGTCCACCAACATTCTGATTTCTAGGTTCTTGTGGGTTTTTTCAGGCTATAGAGCCATGTTCTAGAGGCATTTCTCCTGACGTTTCGCCTGCATCTATGGCAAGCATCCTCAGAGGTAGTGAGGTCTGTTGGAATTAGGACAATGGGTTTATATATCTGTGGAATGGCTGGGGTGGGGCAAAGAGCTTTTCTCTGCTAGAGCTAGGTGTGAATGTTTCAACTGACCACCTTCATTAGCATTTGAAGGCCTTCTAACATTCTGTTTTCTGTTCTTGAGTTCGGAGTAGAGCAACTGCTTTGGGAGACGGTGGTCGGGCATCCGGACAACGTGGCCGGTCCAGCGGAGTTGATGGCAGAGGACCATCGCTTCAATGCTGGTGGTCTTTGCTTCTTCCAGCATGCTGATGTTTGTCCGCCTGTCTTCCCAAGAGATTTGCAGGATTTTCCAGAGGCAGCGCTGATGGAATCGTTCCAGGAGTTGCATGTGACGTCTGTAGACAGTCCAGGTCTCACAGGGGTATAGCAGGGTTGGGAGGACAATAGCTTTATAAACAAGCACCTTGGTATCCCTACGGATGTCCCGGTCCTCAAACACTCTCTGCTTCATTCGGAAAAATGCTGCACTTGCAGAGCTCAGGCGGTGTTGTATTTCGGTGTCGATGTTGACTTTGGTGGAGAGATGGCTGCCAAGGTAGCGGAAATTATCAACATTTTCTAATGTTACACCATTAAGCTGTATCACTGGCATTGGAGAGGGGTTGACTGGTGTCTGCTGGAACAGCACCTTGGTTTTTTCAATGTTCAGTGACAGGCCGAGCTTCTCGTATGCTTCTGCAAAGGTGTTTAGAGTGGCTTGTAGATCTTCTTCTGTATGCGCACAGACGACGTTGTCATCAGCATACTGGAGTTCTATAACTCCAGAACTGGAGTTATAGAACTGGAGTTCTATACACATACATACATATACATACACACACACACACACACACACAAATAGTTTAAGCCTCTTATCAATGGTTTCCCAAATTATCCTTACGACAAAAACCCATTTAGCTTTTGCAAGCAGGCTTATCTGTGTGGCTTCTCGCTATATTTGGAAGCACTGCAGACTGCTAAAGCTAATAGATATTACGAATTTGAATAGATAAGGTTGCTTCCAGAAAACCATCCCGCCTTTGCTCCTGCAAATGTTATTTAGGAACCACCGGTTTTACTCTTCACAGATTTCAGGTACAGGTCGAGGCGAAGCGGTTTGATTAGCGGAGCAAGACATGGGAGACCAAAGTTCGATCTTCATCACGTCGCATTCTCTCAGTCTCAGAGAAAGGCCATGGCAAGTCAGCTCTGAACAAATCTGGCCAAGAAAACCCCATGACAGGGTTGCCACAAGGTCAGTTTAAGTTGGAAATGCCTTGAAGGAACACAACAAAGCAAAACATAGTCTGAGATCTTACATAGAAGAAGCGGAATGTAACTTCATGGGACACAGCGTTCCGTAACAGTTGCACAATGATGTCTTGTTATGGGATGGCAATGTGGAACAAAATACAAATGTGGAACAAAATGCCCATGCACCGCTGCATCAATGATCCGTACGTCCATTGCCATTTTCGCTTCCTTGGCAGCCACCTCTCCACAAAAGTTAATATTGACACTGAAATAAAACACCGCCTGAGCTCTGCAAGTGCAGCATTTTTCCAATTGAAGCAGAGAGTGTTTGAGGAGGGTGAAAGGGAGAAACGTGGCAAGAGGAAGGCATGTCAAGCCAACCCTGACCAGGACAGCCTTCCACCTGGAAACCAATGTCCTCACTGCGGGAGAACATGCAGATCAAGAATAGGGCTCCATAGCCACCTACAGACTCACCACCAAGACACTACACTTGGAGGACCATCACCCTTGGGCTACAAGGGATTGCCTAAGTAAAAAAGTTTGAGGATTGGGATATCCGCAGGGAGACCAAGGTGCTTGTTTATAAAGCTATTGTCCTTCCAAGCCTGCTATATACCTGCGAAACATGGACTGTCTACAGACATCACACTCAATTCCTGGAACAATTTCATCAGCGTTGACTCCAAAAAATCCTGCAAATCTCTTGGGAAGGCAGGAGACAAATGTCAGCGTACTGGAAGGAGCAAAGACCACCAGCATTGAAGCGATGGTCCTCTGCCATCAACTCCACTGGACCGGCCATGTCCGAATGCCTGATCACCATCTCCTGAAGCAGTTGCACTGCCGAAGCATTATTGACACTGAAATACAACATCGCCTGAGCTCTGTGAGTGCAGCATTTTTCTAAATGAAACAGAGAATGTTTGAGAATTGGGACATCCATAGGGAGACCAAGGTGCTTGTTTATAAAGCCATTGTCCTCCCAAGCCTGCTATACACCTGCGAAACGTGGACTGTCTACAGACATCACACTCAACTCCTGAAACGATTTCATCAGCGTAGCCTCTGAAAAATCCTGCAAATCTCTAGGGAAGACAGGCGGACAAATGTCATCGTGCTGGAAGAAGCAAAGACCACCAGCATTGAAGCAATGGTCCTCTGCCATCAACTCCGCTGGACCGGCCACGTCCGAATGCCTGATCACCATCTCTCGGAGCAATTGCACTGCCGAAGCATTATTGACACTGAAATACAACACCGCCTGAGCTTTGCGAGTGCAGCATTTTTCTAAATGAAACAGAGAATGTTTGAGAATTGGGACATCTGCGGGGAGACCAAGGTGCTTGTTTATAAAGCCATTGTCCTCCCAAGCCTGCTATATACCTGCGAAATGTGGACTGTCTACAGACATCACATTGAACTCCTGGAACAATTTCATCAGCGTTGCCTCCAAAAAATCCTGCAAATCTCTCGGGAAGACAAACGGACAAATGTCAGCGTGCTGGAAGAACCAAAGACCACCAGCTTTGAAGCGATGCTCCTACGCCATCAACTCCGTTAGACTGGCATGTTGTCCGAATGCCTGATCACTGTCTCCCAAAGCAGTTACTCTACTCCCAACTCAAGAACGGAAAGTGCAATGTTGGTAGACAGGAAAAGAAATTGAAAGATGGGCTTAAAGCTAACCTTAAAAACCTTTTCTTTGTCATGTCAGGGGCGACTTGAGAAACTGCAAGTCACTTCTGGTGTGAGAGAATTGGCCGTCTGCAAGGTCGTTGTCCAGGGAACACCCAGATGATTTCATGTTTTTATCATCCTTGTGGGAGGCTTCTCTCATGTCCCCGCATGAGGAGCTGGAGTTGATAGAGGGAACTCATCTGCCTCTCCCCAGATTCGAACCTGCGACCTGTAGGTCTTCAGTCCTGCCGGCACAGGGGTTTAACCCACTGCACCAACGGGGGGTCCTATCTTAAAAACTGTGGCATAGACACTGAGAACTGGGAAGCCCTGGCCCTTGAGCGCTCTAACTGGAGGTCAGCTGTGACCAGCAGTGCTGCAGAATTCAAAGAGGCACGAATGGAGGGTGAACGGGAGAAACGTGCCAAGAGGAAGGTGCATCAAGCCAACCCCAACCGGGACCTCTTTCTACTTGGAAACTGATGTCCTCACTGCAGGAGAACATGCAGATCAAGAACAGGGCTCCACAGTCACCTACGGACCCACTGCCAAGACACTACACTTGGAGAACCACCATTCTCGGGCTATGAGGGACTGACTAAGTAAGTAAGTAACCTGCACATGCAATGCATAATCAAAACATGTTGATAGACAGCAAAAGAGATTGAAAGATGGGCTTAAAGCTAACCTGAAAAACTGTGGCATAGACACTGAGAACTGGGAAGCCTTGATCCTTTAGCGCTCTAACTGGAGGTCAGCTGTGACCAGCAGTGATGCAGAATTCGAAGAGGCATGAATGGAGGGTGAACGGGAGAAACATGTCAAGAGGAAGGCGTATCAAGTCAACCCCAACTAGGACTGCTTTCCACTTGGAAACTGATGTCCTCACTTCGGGAGAACACACAGATCAAGAACAGGGCTCCACAGTCACCTACGGACCCACACTTGGAAAACCATCATCCTTGGGCTATGAGGGATCACCTAAGTAAGTAAGTAAGTAACCTGCACATGCCATGCACAATCAAAACATGTGCCACACATTTTGAATGTGCCATCGCTGAACTGAATGCATACTCTCTGCCTTGGACACATATTTAAGGCACCAACAGGAGCCTGGCTAAAGGTTGTTCTGAACCAAGACTGAGCAAAACCTCCCTGAATGATTCAATGTTTAAATTCTGCCCCTTTTGTTTATGTGATTTTGGAGAAGGCTGTGCTTCTCCTTAAGTTCTGCCTCACCTCAACAGGTTTTTCTTCCTGCTTCATGACAGCAAGAGGTCCCCTTAAGTGCTTGTTGTGTTCTCTTTGCCAAGTCTGCAATCCCTGTGTCAAACAGTATGAAAACAAGGGCAGCTCCAAAGTCTGTCTTCTTCTGCCCAGAAGGCTCAGAACTGAAGCTTGACCGCAGTCCCAATGGCTCAAGCGTCCAACTGTATGACCATCAACATTAAAAGCATATTGTCGTTATTACTGCAGGCGTTGGGCAGCTCAGCCCCGTAATCCAACTCACGTTCCTTCATTAAGCGGATAAAAGTCGCACAAGTTGTGCAAGGCTCTCAGCTGCGACAGCAAGCAACAAAGGCTCGATAAATCAGCAAATTACCAGCTGGCAAAGAAATGTTTTCATTTGTTCTGAAATGCCAAATGGTAAATGGTTTAATTCACTGCATTTGCCGGGAAGCTTTGTAGCAAGGGGCTGCATTTGCTAGTGGACAAGACGGACACCACGGTCTGGGCGGCCTTTTCACCGAGGCCGAGGCAAGTGTCCAGCAAAGCCCGGGAACGGGCCGTCAAAGTGGGGAAGGAGGTGATGCACTCGTAGTCCATCCTGGATAAGAGTTGTTGGGAGCGCAGGACGTCCAGGAGGTGATTCAAGCGTCCTTCGGTCATGCAGTGCAGGATGGTCTCTCGCCCACAGGCCAGGATGGAGCAATTTTTCTGTTGATAGCAGGATCCTGGAACATAAAGGAGTTAAGAATGAATCTGTTGCACTCCAGAGCAGGATTCCCTCTGACTTTAGACACCACACATTTGAGTTAAAACAGCAAGCAGTTTATTGAGAGTAATAAAAGCCAAAGCAATAAAAGGTAATCCACAGAAATAGGTAAATCTAATTGATAATTAAGTAAAAAGTGCAATAAATCCAAAGAAAAATAGTCCACAGAAATCCAAGAAAACAAGAGGCTTGATTTCAAAGGTAAATAACACCCAAGGCACTTGAAACAGGAATCAAACAAAGGTAAGGGTCCAGAAACTTAGCATGAAGAACCTGACGTGAATCCAACGTTGCTTCATCTAAAGCAGTGTTTCT